TTGTCCAGCAATCCGGGGAGGAGACACTGAAGGTATGTTGCATGCTCAGGACACGGAGAGAAAAGGAAGGGTGGTATTGGCTCAAGAGTCTCATCTTCTAGCCAAAAACAAAGGAGAAGGTTGCAGAATAATGTAGTACATCGAATAGTGAGCACATTTGGGTAATTATAGAAATAGCTTGGATTTCCAGGGTGGCCAAGGCCATTCCTGAAAGCATAAAATATTTACCCAAATGCTTCTCAATGAAGCTTGAGAGGAAATGACTTGGAAGCATGCCTTGAATCCTGAATGCTAAGCAAGGGATAACTAACATTTGGCTCCAAAGCAAGTTCTAAATTCTTGTGGCAAGATGTTTGTTTACTTGTGCAAGTTGGGATAGACAAGCAGTTGGAAGCAGCGGGTCTGTGGTGGTGGAGGAGCTGCAGAATGTTGAGTGATGAGGGCAGTTTAGGATAGTATTTCCCACCCAGGCTGTGTGCTTTTGACGCTTGATGCCACCACTTACTTGCTGGGTGACATCAAGTAAGTTACTTAACTTCTCTGTGTCACAGTTTCCTCACCTATAAGCTGAAGTGATAATAGCACCCACGGAATAGGGCTATTGTGAGCATTAAGGATAATACAGTTCATGTAAAGTGCTTAACAGAGTGTTGGGAACATAGTTTCACTCAATAATTACCAACTATCATCACCAGGTACATTTTAGCAGAGTTTCTACAAAGTTTGGTTTGACCTCACAGGGCTAAAGACACAGAATTAAAAGGCCCACAGATGTAATGATTATTCAGCCTGGTGATTTGGATCATGGACTGGGAAACTTTTTCTGTAAAGAGGCAGACAGTAGACATTTTCAGCTTTGCAGGCCACGGCAGCTTTGTCGCAACCACAGTGCTCTACTGAACCACGTCCAGCACAGCCAGGGGTGAACCTGAGAAGGGGCAGTAAAGGATTAAAGAAGACAGGCAAGAGAAAACAGTTGGGACCAGGTGGGATTATTGTGCCTGGATGAGGAAACAGTGACACAGCCTATGAGCAGAAGCTTTATTTTATAGTCAGATCACACAAAGCAAAACAAGGGGAGTGGTCAACATGTTTACAATGTTCTTGCAAGTTTCAAATCTATTTCGTTACTCAAGCCTTGTTTTGGCAGCACTTGCTGCACCTCCCACAGCCCATTAGCTACCTAGGAACAAGGGAGGACTGTAAGGTCAAGCTTAATTGTGCTCGGAGGGCTCTTCCCTTTAAGCTGGGACTTGTATGTGGCTCTGCCACAGGTCAGTCTGAGGCTTGACCCTACAGCCGCTCCCTACACTCTACCATTGTCGTGTGAAAACTGCTACAGAAAATACGCCAAAGGACAGGCCTGCCTGTGTTCCCAAAACACTTTATCTACAAAAGCAGGACAACATTTTATTTATAGAAACAGATGACAGGAGGGATTTGCCAACCCCTGATTTAGATAATTGTATACTGCTTTTGTCCAAAAGAGCTATCTTTTGGAAACAGTAAGCAAATATTCTGTTTTCTGCCTGAAATTCTTTTCTTCTCCTATTTGCATGATTGGCTCCAACCTGTCACTTTTGTACTCTTTTACACACACACACACACACACACACACACACACACACACACACCTGTGTCTGTATGCACATCATTTGTTTCCTTCATAGCATAAGTTCTAATATCTGGTATATGGCAGTCTCCCCTTATCCACTGTGACACTTTGTGATTTTAGTTCCCTACTGTCAACACAACATCACAGAAGAAGGGTGAGTACAGTCCAATGAGATATTTCGCGAGACAGATAAAACATTCACATTACTTTTATTACAGTGTATTGTATGTTATTAGTTATTGCTGTTCATCTCCTACATATGCCTAACTTATAAATTCAACTTTGTCATAGGTATGTATGTCTAGGGAAAACATGGTATATAAAGGGTTCAATACTATCTGTGATCTCAGGCATCCACTGGGGATCTTGGAATGTCTGTTCATTTGTTTTCATTGTCCTCTCATCCAAAGGTAAGCTCCAGGAGGACAGGACCCTTAATTCCCAGTACCTGACAGTGACGACTGACTGATCCAGGGTAACAGGTCAGTAAATGTTTACTAAATGAGTAAATGAAAGAAATCCTGCCCATAAAGGACTAAAACATTCTGACAGTTTAAATACACATAAATTAAGGGCCACTCTCAGTAAAACACACTAATGTCACTTATTTCTAGGAAAAGTGATCCAGGCATCTGCTTTCAATATGCAATCTATAAACAGGGCTTTCTTCCCAAAATCCAGGGGTTCGATCAAGCTCTTTTTCCAGATAATCAGTTTACTCATGTTAATTGAAACCATGTGTTCTAGAGAGCTTTCGAGCCTCTTACTCATTATTAATCCATTTCTATTTGAGGCACCCAGATCATGTTCTCTTTTGTCTTTAGATGATGCCACAGATTTTGGAAAAGTTTGAAAAGAAATAAAATAAAAACAGTCCCTAATTCAGATGCTGCCATCTTTCCCATTGTTCATTCTATGTTTAAGATTTAGCATCATGCCAGGAACACAGTAGGCAATTAATATATATCTGAGAATCAACAAATGCATGAGTCTTCATTGAGTAATTCTACAACATTCTACAGTAAGAGTATGAGCAGAAGGGGCTGTGCTACCTGAAAACATAGGTTAAAACAGAGAAGAATGTACTGTATGTGTTGTGTGGGCACCAGAAAGTGAGAACAGGAGGAACATAAAATCAAATTTTGAGGTAATCCTGACTTTGATTTTTGCAACATAGACAGAGTTCCAGGAGTGAAAAAGAGCAGTGGGAATGCCACATCTCTTAAGTCACCATCTGCATATTATTTACCAGCATGGTGAGACAGGTAATGAAGATGTCAGGAGAAGGTATGTAGTGCTCCTCGCCTTTGTGCTCCTGATAAAAAGCCAGCCCTGTCAAATGACCCCGGAGGCAACGCGATGAGCTGTGGAGAACTAGTTCTCACAGCAGCCTGACCCAGCAGGCACAGAAAATTGATTTCATAAACATGATGCTGGTAACAGAGCAGACTCTGACGGCATAGACACACCTGCCTGTTGTGTTCTGACACCTATTGCTGGAGCATGCAGTTGCCCTGAGAGTGATTTAATGAAGAAAACAAAGACAAGAAGAGAAATGTTGCTTTTCACAGCCTGCTCCTTTGTTTGATAGAATCCTGGCAAGAAAAAGTGGACGACGCTTACTCTGCATCAACCCCCTTCCTTCCTGATTAGGGAAGAAGTCCCCGCTCTACAGAGCCTTGGGCTGGATGGATCTGGAGGGTGCCTGTTCCTACCCATTGCACCCTGGAAGAGCCGTTTTGTGATCCCCCTGCATTAGAGGGGTTTGTGAGCCTCCTTGAGCATTCCCTCGCCTCCTCTATGCACCTACTCCACTTTGTACACGCCAAGGCCGCTACTTAAAACAGTGTGTTGGCCTTGTACATGATGAGCATCTTGAAGACAGGGATCTTAATTCACACTTGTATCTCCAAAACTGCGGAGTGCTGGCTCATGGCAGGCCCCCAGCAAATGTTTGCTGACTGAATAAAACAATACATAAAAGCTTAACACTACAAAGCAAAATTCCCTTCTCTTTGCTTAGAAACTTCTTCTTTATAAAACTGTGTAAAAATTATAGAATTGTAACCTGAAACCTATATAATTTTGTTAACCAATGTCACCCCAATAAAGTCAATGTAAAAAAAAACAGCCTTCATTTCTATGTATCAGTGACTAAGGCACTTGGAGTTGAGATAGGAAAATAAACATTTAAGCCCCCACCACAACATACCCATTATTTAAATTTTTTTTATTGTCTAAGAACACAACATGAGATCTAACCTCTTAAAAATTGTAAGTGTACACCACCTTAGTTTCAGGTCTTCCATTTCATCTTCAATCCATTTTAAACTGATTTTTGTGTATGCTATACGATGAGGATCCAAATTTCATTCTTTTGCATGTAGATACCCATTTTTCCTAATGCCATTTTTGAAGAGACCATCTTTTACTCATTGTGTATTCTTGGCTCCTTTGTCATAAATTAACTGACCATATATGTATGGGGTTATATCTTTTTTACAATATACTTTTACTGATTTCAGAGAGGAAGGGAGAGGGAGAGAGAGAGAAACATCAATGATGAGAGAGAATCATTGATTGGCTACCACCTGCACGCCGCACACTGGGGATCAAGCCTGAAACCTGGGCATGTTCCCTGATTGGAAATCAAACTGTGACCTCCTGGTTCATAGTTCTACGCTCAACCACTGAGTCACGCCAGCCGGGCATGATTTATTATTGGTGGGTTGTATGATTTTAGGAATTTATTCATGTCTTCTAGGTTATCCAGTTTGTCTCCCCCATTAGTGATCCATCATTATAACTCCTCCTGAGAATACGTCAGGCACACATACTGTCAATGGTTAAAATGTGGAAAGTTAATTCCTTTCTCAGGAGAGGATGAGGCCTCAGAACACGTAGACTTCGAGTGATGAAAGGCAACCCCAGTGTTTCTCTGAGAGCAGTGCTTCTGCCAGAGCAACTGCCTCATTAACTGGTTCTCTCTCTCTCTCTCTCTCTCTCTCTCTCTCTCTCTCTCTCTCTCTCTCTCTTTTTTAGCAAATCCAGGTAAACCATTCTGAAGTAAGAGTTCTACTCTGTTGGAAAGGAGTTGGAATAGAATAAAAGAATACAAGTGGCAATATCCAACTGGCCTGGGAACAGAAAAGAACCTCCAATCACTTCCCACCTTACACACCACACACACACACACCCTCCTCCTATCCCTCAGCTCCCTAGGACCCGGGCAGGGATGGATGCTGGGAGAAGAGTGGGATGCTGAAGTGAGCTCCAGACACTGCTTCCAACATTACCCCATCTGTGAAGCCATTAAAAGCCAGTCCTTTTGTGCCGCCATGGGTCACCGATTTCTCAGATAGTTTTCTGCTTCACAATTTCTTACACGAACCCAGCTAGGAAGTACAGCAGAGAGCTCATGGAGGACAGTCACAGCTGGAAAAGGACTGCTCAGTGGTTGGTGCTGGGTCCTGCTCCCTGTAGAGTAGCGCTCAGCTTTCTTGGAGACGGACAGTTTGCTCCCAACTGTGCCTCAGCCACAGCATCGCTTCGCTCCTCCTTTCTGGAAGCATCAGTGACCTTCTCAGGGTCACAGGAGTCGGCTACCATCCCCATTTCAGGAATTATTAAGTCACAATTTTAAAAAGCAGATTTCTTTCCCATGTGGCAAGGAAATGCAGAGACAGTTCAACCATTTTCCACTCAAAGCAGATGTTGACGATCAGAGGAGTTATGTCTTGGGAGGTCGAGTGTAATTGAGGCTCAATGGTGATGGGACTCATGAGAGCTAAAAGCTGCGACTGTATGATGTACTCAGGGTTAGTTGAGAAATAAGCTTTTGTAAAAATCAGGGCCAAGGATAAAGGATAAATTGCAAATTAGTAGAGGCAAATTTAAAACAACCGCAACTCAGAAGAATCACAATTAAGAAGAAATTCAGCCCTGACCGGTTTGGCTCAGTGGATAGAGCTTCGGCCTGCGGACTGAGGGGTCCCGGGTTCGATTCCAGTCAAGGGCATGTACCTTGGTTGTGGGCACGTCCCCAGTAGGGGATGTGCAGGAGGTAGCTGATCGATGTTTCTCTATCATCGATGTTTCTAATTCTCTACCCCTCTCCCTTCCTCTCTGTAAAAAATCAATAAAATATATTTTTTTTTAAAAAAGAAGAAATTCAAAGCACTACTGAACTTCCTGAAACGGAGTCTTGGTTTATACTTGGACAAATATCTTTTAATGCTCAAAAAAGAGCAATGAAAAGTGGTATAAAAGAAAAAACAAAACCAAAGATTTATCAAATATATATGGTGCCTCTAATGAAACCAACTGGATAACAAAATTATCACTGAATTTACATTATGATAGAGTTAGAAGAAAACTTCTTTTGAAAACTTTATGAGAACATATGTAAAATGTATTTTTTATTTACAGTACAGATAAGAATACAAGGCAGAATTAATCACAGGTTTAAATTTCCACTCATTTTTAAAAGAATGAACTTGGAAAGGTATGTTGGTTAAATTCTCTAGGTATATATAACACTAATTTGAATAACTTAGAACCCACTTTCTTAAATATTTCAAGCTATCTTTTCCTTAACAGTTGTTCTTTTGATCTTAATTATCTAGAAAATAGTTTCAATGGTTTCAACTTCACTTTGTGTAAGCAACCTTGAGATGTGGCTCAACCATCCCATTCATACTAATAATATTCCAATCATTCCATTTTCATTGAACTTCCAGGGTATGGGTTTTTGAGAATTAGTGATACTTTCTGTGATTCCAATAAAAGGAGCAGAAGGTTTGGCTCCTAGCCTCTCTTGAGAAAAAAACAAAACAAAAAGGCTCAATGTGATGTGCGGTAGCTAGCCACTGCTTACAGAAAAATTACCATGTGAGCCGAGGACGGGCACGGATGGGAGGGAGTGTGCTTTGATTTTGGACAGATTTGGAGAGGAATTCCTGCTTCACTGATGATTGGTCATGTGAACTTGGGCAATCTTTAGGGGGTTTGGGTTTTTCATTAGCAAGAGAAAAACAGCAACATTTACTAGAGAGGGTTGTTGTGAGAAATAAGTTACTATAGGTGAGCAACAGGGCACACAGTACATGCTCAGTGAATACTAGTTCCCTTCCTTCTCTCAGGGAAGGGAGAGCTCTTAGAAGCCATTTAGTTTAAGCCTTGATTTTAAAAGAGATAACTTTTAAGCTTAACTTTAAAAAAATCTGATATTGCCAACAAGGGAATTCCTAGTTTCAAATTTAAAAATGTTATTATTTGTATTTAAGGTTGAAAAACAAAAGAAATTGCAGGTGAGCATGCATGTTTGGGGACTTTCAAAGTATACATACATATAGAATTTTAAAGATACAAGACATATACATAAACATATACACATATACAGAGTTTCTTTAATTTTTGAGGACTGGTAAGCCTTCAAAAGTTTAAGAAGAACCCAAGAAGATGACCTTAAAAAGTACAGCTTTAAAAGTGAAGTTGGTGTTCTTTTTCTACCATGATGTAACTAAAATTCTTGGAATTCAAAGCTTTGAGCTGTTTAGTACCTTTCCTTTTAGCCTAATCATCATCCTCTTTAGTTTACATCTGACTGACCTTAAAAGACCTGAGATTTCATTAAAAGGTACAGTTACCATCAGAAAACCTATTGTTAGTTTTGCTTGTATCTGTTTTGATAATATCTGTTTATTCCATTTGGCTTAGCCAAATACAACATGCTACATCTGAGGGCTAACTGGTTGACCTAGTTTGGAAGGCCCAATGAAGCATTATAGTTTTTACAAATTGAAACCTATGATAATAATCTTATAAATATCCAGTTTTCACCCAGTGTACACATATGATACGGGAATAGACTAGCAGACAACTAAGTTTCTTACACAATTTCTGACAAGGGTTCAATTGTGGGTACATTTCAAAAGTGAGGGGTCTTTGCTGAAAAGCTTTAGCAATCCTGATTTATAATTTTGCCATCTACATATTACTTTAAATATATCTTGAGGATTCTAAAAAAGTTTTCATGTGTACCTCTAATGATTACCATTGTTTATATTTCCTATATTTGCCTTGAAATAAGAACTCCCCTATGGGCTCAATAATTTAGAAACTCTGGTGGAAAATTCCATAGTATAATTTGGTGCGAGGAAAAGCTAAGGGTAAGATTGATTTTCGACCTACCCAAACTAACCCAGGACAGCAACTGTCGGGCCAAAAACACAATGTCCTGGCTTCAGTCTATCACAGAGCTCGTTCCTCCCTCTTCATTCTTTCTCAGTGGGGAGTGAGGACTGGTCTACGGTTTTCCATCAGAAACACAATTTTCTAATTGAAGACCAAAAACCAAACTGGCTCCAAACAGAGCTCCTGCTGGTTTTTGTTCCTTTCATTGGTGAAATGTATCTATGAGCTCTGCTTTTGCAAAACAGAAACCCTCTGGCCAGACTCTCAAGTGTTTGCAGCCTTGATATGTAAATGTCCTTTAAAGCAACATACTGTCAGACTAATGATGCGCGATAACTTGAAATGGGATTAAAGCCGTTTAGTACTAGTATATCATAGATTTATTGCTATGGCATTGTCCGATTAACAGACACCATCTGTATTTTCTGGAAATATAGCTGCATCCTCAATAGTCTGTCTTGAAATTAAGGCCTTTGAAGAAGATAGATAATGAGTAGTGAAAGAAAAATGGTTTTGATGGACAGTAGTGTATGAAAATGAGAAAATCAATGACCATGGGAAGTAAGGATAGAAAAAAGTTTTATTTTATATGCGCTGAGGGGATATGATAATGTGGACTCTGAGAAAGACATTCCCTCACTCACTCACAGGAGTCAACGACAAAGCAATACAAATTTCAATTGGTTTGCTGGAGTAAAATTATATGCCTCTTGGGGGCAGTTGAATCCCTCCAGGAACGAGCTACGTCTGATGTGTTCCCCATAGTAGGCATCTAAAACATTTGTCAGATGGATGATGGAATGAATGAACTGACTGGACAAAGTTCAAATCAGCACTAAAAGGAATTTCAGGATGTCACCACTCAGACAATATCTGTGAGGCTGTGGTAAATTACTGCCATTTGCCAACATTTCTAGCTCTCTTTTCTTTCTGGGCACATGGAAAGGCCACACTTGCTTGCTCCACTGAGTTGAGGTATGGCTACGTGAGCCATGAAATGTGAGTAAAGTGACTTATGTCCCTTCCAGGTGGTGGCTGGTGCATGACCATTGATGCCCCTTTTCCCCTGCAGCAGCAGCTGTGGAATCATGAGTTGAAGCAGCAGCTTGCATTGCTCAGCCAACAGGAGGACCCTGCTCTGGAGAATTGCCTGGATGCAAAGCAGACTTGTATGAGCAAGAAATACACCCTTGTTGTTGAAAGCCAATGCATGGGTACAGTCCACAATGATTAAGACGGTGCATATATCGTCCATCCAACATGCTCTTCTTCAGTGTGAACTTGCCGTACCCCCAGCAAGAGGCGGACTCTGTTTCCTCTCCTCTTGGATCTGGGGGCAGAAGTGACAGCTGATACAAGATCAGGAAAAGCCAGGAAGTTGTCTCAGAGCATTGCTCTGTTGGAACGCTTTCTCTCTGCTTGCTCCTTCTCAGAATCCAGCCAGCAAGCTGAACAGAGTTCACATGTCAGTGCTCTTGTCAAGAGTCCCAGCTCATCTGAGTCATCCCAGGCAGGCACCGAACATGTGAGGGAGGAAGCTTCCAGATGATTTCAACCCCTGAGCCATCTGAGTGTTCCCCAGCTGAGCCCCAGACATTACACAGCAGATACAAGACATCACCGCTATGTTGCATCTAATTCCTGACCCACAGTATTTGTGAGCATAACAAAGTAAGATAAAAAATAGTAAGTTCAGATTTTTGGTAATAGTGCCTCATATGGTACCACCATTCTGGGCAAGTTATACAGGCTTCATCCATGTGGTCCATTCTGCTTGGTTAGAAGCCACATCCCTAGTACCTCATTCACGTACACAAGGTTATTAAACTGAATTTACTGGCGCACAGCGATTTTCATTGTTTCCTCCAGGCAAGATTTATTCTGAAAAAACCGTATCCTTCTGAGCCTCAAGGAAACAAATGGTACACTTAAACATATTTACACATGATAAAATGCTGTGGGGAAAACTGGGAAGCTCATATTGTGGATGATTGGTTGATATTTCAGAAATAGCTGGCATCTAAGCCATTGCTATGTTAGATGTGAGTTTCAGATATTGCCATGCGAGTTGGAAGACTTCCTGAGTAAATATTGCTCGTCCCTTTCAAATTACTAGCAAAAAACCATTTTAACAAAACCACTAGAACCTAGGGGCTCACATCACATTATATTTAGAAGTGTGGATACCAGAATGGAAAAGCATAGAAGAAAATTGCCAATATTGTGCATAGCAATAATACAGGTAATTAGCTTAATTTTAAGGTTCCACAGCTCTAGGGACAAATGGACACTCTGAATGCACACCAGGGCAAGTATTGTACGAGTATATTGTCTGAATAAGGTCTATTTCATCGCTTCTTAATGAAATTTTGGGGGCTAATTTTTATTATCCATAATGTGTTGGGAGATATGTGTCCTAGAGAAAATATAAAATGTATACTGTTAGTTTGCAGAGAGGGCAAAGCATATATTCCAACAAAGGAGCAAACCAATCCAGAGTAAGGAACCAACTATAGGCCGAAGTCAATTACATAACTGATCATTTCATGGATTCTTGCCTTACTCGTAGTAATGAGACAGGATGGAGAGAAGTCTAGAAGGGCCCACACGCTAGGGCAATGTGCACATTTGCTGAGTACCACACAATTTAACAGGGACAAGCGAAGGTATTGGCAAGACCTGGGAATGAAATCGCAGCTCCTCTGTTTACCTGCTGTTTGACCTGGAAAGACTTCACAACAGATTTTTAACTTCATAGTTACTTAGTCTTACACTGTCCTTCCTATATTT